ACAAAAGACCCACTTCAGACCTAGGGACACATACAGACTGAAAGTGAGGGGATGGAAAAAGATATTCCATGCAAATGGAAATCAAAAGAAAGCTGGAGTAGCTATACTCATATCAGATAAAATAGATTTTAAAATAAAGAATGTTACAACAGACAAGGAAGGACACTACATAATGATCAAGGGATCAATCCAAGAAGAAGGTGTAACAATTATAAATATATATGCACCTAACATAGGAGCACCTCAATACATAAGGCAACTGCTAATAGCTATAAAAAGGAAATTGACAGTAACACAATAATATTGGGGGACGTTAACACCTCACTTACACCAATGGACAGATCACCCAAAATGAAAAAAAATAAGGAAACAGAAGCTTTAAAAGACACAATAGATCAGATAGATTTAATTGATATTTACAGGACATTCCATCCAAACACAGCAGATTACACTTTCTTTTCAAGTGCACATGGAACATTCTCCAAGACAGATCACATCTTGGGTCACAAATCAAGCCTTGGTAAATTTAAGGAAATTGAAATCATATCAAACATCTGTCCCAACCACAATGCTATGAGATTAGAAATCGATTACAGGGAAAAAAACGTAAAACACACAAACACATGGAGGCTAAACAATACATTACTAAATAACCAAGAGATTACTGCAGAAATCAAAGAGGAAATCGAGAAATACCTAGAGACAAGTGACAATGAAAACACGACGACCCAAAACCTATGGGATGCAGCAAAAACAGTTCTAAGAGGGAAGTTTATAGCTATACAAGCCTACCTCAAGAAACAAGAAAAGTCTCAAATGAACAATCTACCCTTACACCTAAAGGAACTAGAGAAAGAAGAAGAAAAAGAAAAGTTAGTAGAAAGAAAGAAATCATAAAGATCAGAGCAGAAACAAATGAAATAGAAACAAAGAAAACAACACCAAAGATTAATAAAACTAAAAGCTGGTTCTTTGAGAAGATAAACAAAATTGATAAACCATTTGCTAGACTCATCAAGAAAAAGAGGGAGAGGACTCAAATCAATAAAATTAGAAATGAAAAAGGAGAAGTTAAAACAGACACTGCAGAAATACAAAGCATCCTAAGAGACTACTACAAGCAATGCTATGCCAATAAAAACGACAACCTGGAAGAAATGGGCAAATGTTTAGAAAGGTATAAGCTTCCATTCTATTTCTTCCAGGAAGAAATAGAAAATAGGAACAGACCAATCACAAGTAATGAAATTGAAAGTATGATTAAAAATCTTCCAACAAACAAAAGTCCAGGACCAGATGGCTTCACAGGTGAATTCTATCAAACATTTAGAGATGAGCTAACGCTCATCCTTCTCAAACTCTTCCCAAAAATTGCAGAGGAAGGAACACTCCCAAACTCATTCTGTAAGGCCACCATCACCCTGATACCAAAACCAGACAAAGATACTACAAAACAAGAAAATTACAGACCAATATCACTGATGAATATAGATGCAAAAATCCTCAACAAAATACTAGCAAACAGAATCCAACAACACATTAAAAGGATCATACACCATGACCAAGTGGCATTTATCCCAGGGATTCAAGGATTCTTCAATATATGCAAATCAATCAGTGTGATACACCATATTAACAAATTGAAGAATAAAGATCATCTCAGTAGATGCAGAAAAAGCTTTTGACAGAATTCAACACCCATTTATGATAAAAACTCTCCAGAAAGTGGGCATAGAGGGAATCTACCTCAACATAATAAAGGCCATATATGACAAACCCACAGCAAACATCATTCTCAATGTGAAAAACTGAAAGCATTTCCTCTAAGATTCAGGAACAAGACAAGGATGTCCACTCTCGCCACTACTATTCAACATAGTTTTGAAAGTCCTAGCCACGGCAGTCAGAGAAAAAAAGAAATAAAAGAATACAAATTGGAAGAGAAGAAGTAAAACTGTCACTGTTTGCAGATGTCATGATATTATAAATAGAAAATCCTAAAGATGCCACCAGAAAACTACTAGAGCTCATCAATGAATTTGGTAAAGTTGCAGGATACAAAATTAACGCACAGAAATCTCCTGCATTCCTATACGCTAAGTGTGAAAGATCAGAAAGAGAAATTAAGGAAACAATCCCACTGCAGCAAAAAGAATAAAACACCTAGGAATAAATCTACCTAGGGGGTAAAAGATCTATACTCAGAAAACTGTAAGACACTGATGAAAGAAATCAAAGATGACACAAAGAGATGGAGAGATATACATGTTCTTGGATTGGAAGAATCAACATGTTCTTGGATTGGAAGAATCAACATAGCAATCTACAGATTCAATGCAATCCCTATCAAATTACTAATGGCATTTTTGACAGAACTAGAACTAAAAATCTTAAAATTTGTACGGAGACACAGAAGAGCCCGAATAGCTAAAGCATTCTTGAGGAAAAAAAACAGAGTTGGAGGAATCAGACTCCCTGACTTCAGACTATACTACAAAGCTACAGTAATCAAGACAATACGGTACTGGCACAAAAACAGTAATATAGGTTAATGGAACAGGATAGAAAGCCCAGAGATAAACCCATGCTCCTGTGGTCAACGAATCTATGACAAAGGAGGCAAGGATATACAATGGAGAAAAGACAGTCTCTTCAGTAAGAGAAGGAAAACTGGGAAAACTGGATAGCTACACGCAAAGGAATGAAATTAGAACACTCCCTAACACCATACACAAAAATAAACTCAAAATGGATTGAAGGGCTTCCCTGGTGGCGCAGTGGTTGAGAGTCCACCTGCCGATGCAGGAGACATGGGTTCGTGCCCCGGTCCAGGAGGATCCCACATGCCACAGAGCGGCTAGGCCCGTGAGCCATGGCCGCTGAGCCTGCGCGTCCGGAGCCCGGGCTCCGGAACCGGGGGGGTCCCCACCAGTGAGAGGCCCGCGTACCGCAAAAAAAAAAAAAAAAAGGATTGAAGACCTAAATGTAAGACCAGACACTATAAAAATCTTAGAGGAAAACATAGGAAGAACACTTTTTGATATAAATCACAGCAAGATCTTTTTTGACCCACCTCCTAGAGTCATGGAAATAAAAACAAAAATAAACAAATGGGACCTAGTGAAACTTCAAAGCTTTTGCACAACAAAGGAAACTATAAACAAGACGAAAAGACAAATGTCAGAATGGGAGAAAATATCTGCAAATGAATCAACGGACAAAGGATTAACCTCCAAAATATATAAACAGCTCAATATCAAAAAAACAAACAACCTAATAAAAAAATGGGCAGAAGACCTAAATAGACATTTCTCCGAAGGAGACATACAGATGGCCAAGAGCACATGAAAAGCTGCTCAACATGGTTAACTAGAGAAATGCAAAACTACAATGAGGTATCACCTTACACTGGTTAGAATGGGCATCATCAGAAAATCTAAACAATAAATGCTGGAGAGGGTGTGGAGAAAAGGCAACCCTCTTGCACTGTTGGTGGGAATGTAAATTGATACAGCCATTATGGAGAACAGTATGGAGGTTCCTTAAAAAACTAAAAATAGAACTACTATATGACCCAGCAATCCCACTACTGCAATCCCACTACTGGGCATATACCCAGAGAAAACCGTAATTCAAAAAGAGACATGCACCCCATTGTTCATTGCAGCACTATTTACAATAGCCAGGTCATGGAGGCAACCTAAATGTCCATCAACAGATGAATGGAAAAAAAAGATATGGTACATATATACAATGGAATATTACTCAGCCATAAAAAGGAATGAAATTAGGTCTTTTGTAGAGATGTGGATGGACCTAGATATGGTCGTACAGAGTGAAATCAGAAAGAGAAAAACAAATATCATATATTAATGCATATATGTGGAATCTAGAAAAATGGTACAGATGAACCCATGTGCAAGGCAGAGACAGAGACACAGATGTAGAGAAGAAACGTATGGACACCAAGTGGGGAAAGTGGGGGGTAGGGAGTGGGGGGTAGGGAGTGGGGGGTGGGATGAACTGGGAGATTAGGATTGACGTATATACACTCACATGTATAAAATAGGTAACTAGTAAGAACCTGCTGTATAGCACAGGGAACTCCACTTTGCTGTAAAGTAGAAACTAACACAACGTTGTAAAACAACTATACCCCAGTTAAAGAAAAAAAAGGGCTGTAACAGGAGCCTAGCCAAAAAAAACCCCAAAAAACCCAACATTTGCTCTCACGTCAGTACCCTGTCAAGGACAAACTTTAACTCATGTACTCTTTTTACTGATAATTTGAACATTTTTATTACAAGAAAATACTCATTACAAAAAAAGGCCAATAACTGCTAATTATGTGTTAAAGTTTTTGTGCTTTATTTTACTGTAATAACAGTCAAATCACAATAGTCTTCATTTTTTTTAACTGAGATATAACAAGTAATGGCAGTACCATCATAAATGAAAAATACTTTTATCAAATTATGTGAGAGAATAGGAGATATACATTTTTTAAAAATCCATAAGTAGTATTTAACTACAAAAAACTAAACTAGTTAAAACTAAACAAAAAATTGCCTAAATCTGCTCCATATAACTGAATCCTTCTTACCTTTTCTAATTCTTGGCTGTTAATTTCATGTAACCAGCTGAGATGTTCATGAGCTTGCAAAAAATTGGCCAACTGTCCGTGCTGAGAAATAGGCTGAGATAATAATTTGCCTCGCTTTCCTTTCTCCAGATACCAACGGAAGAGAAAGTCTGAAAAATTCTATAAAGAACAAAGCCATGAATTCAAGAATATATAGTAATACAGTTTTTAAAACTACATTTCTGGGGCTTCCTTGGTGGCGCGGTGGTTGAGAGTCCGCCTGCCGATGCAGGGGACGCGGGTTCGTGCCCCGGTCCGGGAAGATCCCAAATGCCGCGGAGCGGCTGGGCCCGTGAGCCATGGCCGCTGAGTCTGTGTGTCCGGAGCCTGTGCTCCGCAACGGGAGAGGCCACAACAGTGAGAGGCCCGCGTAGTGCAAAAAAAAAAAAAAAAAAATTCTGATAATAAAGTATTAAATTTCTCCCAAAGGTCTTAGACTCCAGAATAGAAATCCAGTTTTAAACACTCATTTCCTGCATTGTAGGGTCCTCAAATCACCTCATTTAACAAATGAGGCCATTCAGATCCAGAAAGGGGATCTCGCTCAGGGTCACACAGATGTGCGCTGTCCAATAATATGGCAGTCACCGGTCACATGTAGTTGCTTAAACTTAATCTAAAATGTAAAATTCAGTCCCTCAGAGACACCAGTCACATTTCAAGTACTTGAAGGCCATCTGTGGTCAGAGACTCCATTTGGGACAGCACATATGGGCAAGATCTCCATTACCACAGAAAGTTCCACTGGACGGTGCTGAGACGCTATCCTTCCAGAATGAAAGATTCTCAGGGGCAGAACTGGGTGCCACGTGTCCATGTGGGCTGGCACAATAAATCAGAATCTAGAGAGGCATATCCAGTTTCCCCACAGGACGTTTGCTGGATGCTGGGGTGGTGTGAGGCTGGGCTGGAAAGGAAGACAAAAGTGTCCTGCAGTCTCACAGTACTTAAGAGATATTTCCACTAAAGGGGGAATTCTGCAAGGAACACACCAGCCCCATAAGACATCTGAAACCAGAAATGAATGAATTTAACGGAAGCTGCAGTCAAGCCCTGACCCACCTCTATTCTTGATGTATTGAGTGATCTGCCGCTCATCTTACCTGTCTCCCAGGGGAAAGAACAGCATTGATTTTCGTCTTTACGGTTCTTTTATACACAATGTCCAAAATACAATTTAAAAAATTGCAAGGGACTTCCCTTGTGGTCCAGTGGGTAAGACTCCATGCTCCCAATGCAGGGGGCCCAGGTTCAATCCCTGGTCGGGGAACCAGATCCCACATGCATGCCACAACTAAGAGTCCGCATGCAGCAACTAAAAAAAAAAAAAAGATCCTGCATACCGCAACAAAGATCCCATGTGCCTCAACTAAGACCCGGCACAGCCAAAATAAAAATAAATAAATATATATTTTTTAAGTTGTAAGACATAAGAAGCAGAAAAATATGAATATGCAGGCAGCAGAAGCAGACCTAAGAATGATCATTTTGGAATCAGCACAAAAGGACTTAAAATAACTAGTAAACATATTAAAGAAAATAAAAGGAACAAAGCACAAAAGGATGGAAAATATCAACGGAGAATAAGAATCCTTAAAAGGAATAAAAATTATGATGGGCACAAAGTACTTACTTCAGCACTACTGTGAAATACGAGATAAGCCATGTCCAGCAATCAAGTACTGATCAAATAAGTTACATCCAGTCCATGAAATACCATAACAACATTAAAAATGTGGTTGTGTAATATTTAGTGATATGGACAAATGTCTGTTATGTATTAAGTGAAATAAGCAGTTAACGAAACATGTTTGGTAGAGTAAAAAGACTAGAAGAATAAAACCAAATGTTAAAAAGGGTTCTCTCTGGGTGGTAGAATTATGAACGATTTTTTAATCTTCTTTTTTGTTTATAGTGGTTTCCTGAATTTTATACAATGTTACCTTTATAGTAAGAAAAAAAATCAGGTTTTACATAAAGATCAACTGACTGAATAGACTGGCTTTAAGGAACAACTTAAATGTACCTAAATAGTGTCACAATGCGAACTTTAAAAAAAAATAGTAAGCGTAAAAAAACAAAAACAGGAAGCATGTCAAAGAAGGAAAACAAGAATCTTAGGTGTATGGAAATCTGAGCTCTCTAAAAGTAGCATCCCATGCTCCCAAGATCTTCTACTCAAACTTTAGAACTCTAGCAATATCCGTATCCCTAAGTACTTTTAATTATAACTGAAAATATAAGAATAGAAATAAAAGTCTTAACATCTTTTTCAGAGGTCAAAGAATCCGTCAGTAATATTTATATATAAAGAATTGTCTACCTATTTACAAAGAAACATAATGTACAAATTAGTGTCTGGTAATCTGCAAAAAGACTGTATCATCTTCCAAAAACCCCAAGTAAGATTTGAAATGGTAAAGTCTTCTTACAGGGTCCACTGCCTACACCCCCAGGGTTCGTTACCTGGTCAGCAAACTGTGTCATGTAGCGCTGCAGTCTGGCCTGGTTGTCAGTCTGCTCACACATTTGTACTAAGATATCAAAGTCACAGTATTTTTCTGCTAATGAAGCAGCCCATGGGTACTGGCCTAGTGTGACTATGGAAATGAGAACAGATGGAAAAAAATCCTGTTAGCGAAAACTTAATATGTAATAAAAAAATATTCCTTGAAATTTTACCTTTATTCATATTATATGCTAAAGTTAATTAATAGAAACCTTTCCAGTTACTGGCATTTAGTTTCATAATCCATATAAACTCATTAAAGATGTAAATTCAGTCCCTTGCTTCATCACTGCCCACCTAAGATGCTATCCCCTTCCTTCATGTAGCAAGACAAGCTTCTTCTCTGAATCCTGGCTGTGACCGTCTCGTGTCCTCCTCTGAAGAGCCGTACCACCTCTCCACACCGTGGAACGACCCTTGTCTGCTCTACCCTGCAGTCTAGCTGTTCCTGTGAAGGTCTGAGATGGTAAGCAGTCTCCACATGCTGTTAATTTATTTATTTTTAAATCATCTTTAACACCATCTAGGACACTTGTTACCTGGTAAGTAATGACAACGAGGCTGAATAAACGAACACAGAAAGCTGTACACAGGAAAGCTCTGCTTTAAGCTCTGAGCTACAGCTGGGTTAACGACATTACACTGCATAACACATTGCGTGAATGATTTGGCTCCTACATCTGTTCTGCAGACTCAAGACCCACAGCCCTCACTAAATATCAGGCACTTACGAAGCGGAGATAAGAGATCTGATCTTTTCTGCAGGTATTCCATTTCCAGATTGTTATATCTTTCTTGATCACTGGATCTGTCCACAGACTTGAGCTGAGAAACATAACCATCCAGGAAGCAATCAATCAGTGCTACCAGCTGCTCTGTCAGAATGTTTCGGAGGTTGCTATCCGCCTGAGGATAAACCATTTTCAGGACAATCCCATGCTGGCGCACTATTGCTGTTCGAATGCCGGCAGGACCACTCGTTGCTGTAAAATCACACAAAATAATATGACAAGTAAGGATTCCATAATGGCTACGGGAAAGACCAACTGCCTAAAAATTATATCCCGTCAGCCTTGATGGATGGAAAAAGAAATCAAATAGGAGGTCAGCTGATACTTTTCTATGTCCTGCTCAAACCCATCTTCTCTATGAGGACGGCCTCAGCAGAGCCAGGTAAACATGATTCTTCTTCCTTCTAAATTCCTTTAATGCTACTCCACTTATTTTCTTGTATTAAATCAACAAAAAATACAGTCAGTACATCCAGGGCCTGCTGCTATGAATAACTATACGTACTAAAACCTAGTAGATGCGTGAGTACCAGTTTAAAAAAATGAGTTACAGAGAGATCTACAAATTATTCCAAGGCAATAAAGTGATTTTCGTAAGAACTACTCATCTTGGAGATGGCACTTATGTTATTTTTCATTTCACTCACAAACTTGCACTAGGAGAACAATATGGCTTCTGAAAATAACAGACCATTAGAAATATATTTTGATCAACTGCTAATGAATCAGTATATTTGGGCGCAGTGCTTGCAATCTCACCTGTCCACGGAATATACTCAGGTTCTTTTTCTACTGGCTCCTCTCTTCTATACAAGGAGTTTCTATTTTGTCGATAATGACTAGCAGCTTGCAGCATGTCCTGGAAAATGAAATGTGTTATCACATGCAGGAAGCAAGGGATCCCAGGATCTCTAAGATAATCTGAAACATCAAGTCTATTATACAAAAAATTACTCGGCACAGACCTGTTGGACTACTTTTTGATTCTTTCTGCATTTGAAATTTGTTTTACTCTACAGTTTAACTTCAGTTTTAGAGAACTATGGTAACCGAACTAGGAAGACAATTACTATAAAGTCCATGAGCTAAAATTAAATGAAACATTTTAATCAATAATATAAGTAGTGTGCTTTTGTGTAATTAAAAAGCAGTTACAGTAACATTAATACCTTTGCAATGATATACATGTCTTCTCCAAATAAAAGGTTTATTCTACCAAATAGAAACTTCTAACATGCACAAGGCAAACACTCAGATGTGTATTAACTGACTGATAAAATGACTGAGGTTTTCCTAACTTTTTGGAATGAACGAATACCTAAACCATTATGGATCACTGGTGATGCAAAGTAGGAACATGGAGACCACTTCCTCCTCCATCCACAGCCTGGGCTTTGAGTTGCTGGTACCTTCAGCACGCGTGCGTACCTTGAGAATACTGTTCACACTGATCGCCGCCTCCGCCCATTCAGCTGGCTCCAAGGCCGTGTCCTTCAAGACTTGCTCCTCGTGCTCCAGTAAGCACTCCCAGACGCTATCTACCTGGGACACCTGAGGAAGGACAGAGACGGTACCTACTAGGAACAGAGACCATGCCGATGTGCCACGCTTACAGCTGCCTGGAATCGACTCAGCAGGCTTTCCTCACTAAGTCACACCCTCTGCTCAGTAGTCAAAGGGACAGTCAGTGATGAAAACAAATTTAAAAGCCAAGAAAAGTTAGAATCTCCTAACTTTTAAAAGGTGGAGAGCACAAATAACTGATAAATAAGTCTGATAAATAAGCAATCTGGATTGGTAGCCGGTAGGTTTTTTATTTAAATATCAAGTAACTGAAATATTTGTTTATTATAGCTATGAGGGCTCAATGCCACCTTTAAATAGTACTAGGCTACAAATGATGTCACATAACAATGCGAGACCCCAAAGTAATGAATTAAACGAATGAACTAATGGATTAAAATAGTTATCCAACCAATGAAGTTGCTAATTTCTTTCTCTGAAGAATTTCTTTTCTTTAGACATAATAGAAATGTTTGTAGAACAGCAGTAGCTACATAGAAACTAACTAAATACATAACTTGTAACTGTTCTATTTTTTGTGATTAATTAACACATGAAGGTAACTGTGCAAAAATGTTAAGCACTGAAACACTTGTTTCCAGTGTCAGCCCCCAGTTAAGCTTTTCCCCCTTTATTTATCAAGTGGATATTTACTTGGCATTTAGAGTTTGCATAGCATTGGGTGCTCAGAGATAAGAAGAAATGGAAATTAGATTTGCTGCCCTCAAGGAACTTACAAACTAGTTGAACGAACGATTCATAAACACATGCACAATGGAGCCCAAACAAAATCACTCTTCTTCCTTTAGTATTTCTGATGTCAGTCAAAGGCATCCTAACAGCCCTAGCAGGAAACCTCTGGCACGTTGAATTTGTAAGAATTTTTTACACTGTTAATGTGAAAAAGATAATGCATATGTGATATAAAAGGCACGAAATAATATAAAAGCAAATAAAATCCCAAGACACTTGCTAGACAGCCTTACCACATGAGTTACATGTTCAGTGGTTTCAGACATTGCTCATAAGTTGTACCAACACTGCTGAGGGCCTGTTCTGAAGCAGTTATCTCATTTTATAGAGCCCCAGGAGGTGCGGGGGCTCCTTCCAGACTGGCTACAGGTGGAGGGTCAACCCTCAAGCAGAGTCTGTATTATTTTACCTTCTATCCAGGGTTGTGAGATCACATCTCCCCTACACAGCCCACCAATCAGAGCCTGACTTGGGTTATCCAGCTCTTCTCTTAAAATGCATACCTGTTTGTAATGTAATTTACCACTCCCAAGTGGATGGACAGGTAAAAAGAAAAAAAAAATTGATACATATTTTTTCACTAAACACATGCATACCTCTTCAGCTCTCTCTTTTTATTATGGTTATGCCATGTGGGAGGACCTTTAGAACTTCACCCAAAGGAAGCTTAAGACCAGTAAATGTAAAGAGAAATTAAAATAAATGGTGATGTAAACAGTCTTAAACATTACTATCTTCCATATGGAGCATTCTTTTGAGGAACCAATCACATTTTTAGTTTTTCTTTTTTCCTATCATATTCCTACGGTGCTACTCATGAATTATGTATTCATCCAACTGATAACTTCCAGACCCTATGTTTTTTCCAGTTAATTGGAAAAATGTACTTATACATAATTAACTAGTATGCTTTGCACTTTGATCCCAAAGCAGAAAAAGCAACCAGGCTTTTGCTCAACTCAATTTGTCATTAATAATTAAATAAGAAAAACAAAAACTTTATCATGTAAAATTATGTATGAATAAAGACAAAAAAGGACACAAAAATGACAACAGTTTGGTTAGATCATGAAATTTGAGGTGAACTTTCTTTTTTTTCATTCAGATTTCAGGTATACTTGATTAAAAAACAAAATAAAACAGAAAAGTGCTTTGCCTTACATTCCCTAGAAAAAAAGCCCAAATGTATAAAAATGAGGCCTTCTTCAAACTAAATACATTTACGGAGTCTACAGAACTGAACATAGTTCAGTGTCTTATTTTTGGTTGCAGTACATCAAATATTCAGAGTAGAAGAGACCCTTGGCACAGGCTGTTAGATGCTAGATGACAGCCGGACTGCACGAGGAAGGAGATAAAATTAGAGGCACCAAACAGAAAAACTTCCCAAATGCAAAAAACAATTCCAAATTCCACAGAGCTGGGGGAAGAGCTAGCACTGTTTCTAAACTCAGATAACGCCACAAAGGGAGAAGGGACAGCCCTAGTGAAGGACTACAAACTCCTGAAGCAACTGACTAGCACACCCAGAACAGCCTGCTGAATGGTGGCTCAGAGCCAGGGTCTGTGGTCTCAGCTGAGTCAACCGGCCCCTGGGTCTTGGCGGCAACACCTGTAAAGGGAGACGGGAAAGTCAGCCCTGCCTTTCATGAGGTTGCGAGGTATCGCTCAGGTACCAGAGCTGTGTGCTCTGACCAGTGCCCAGCTGCCACCAGCTGGCCAGCACCTTCATCTCCCTCCCAAGTTTACAGCAGGTTTTTCTTTTCCTCTAAATCTGACTTTAAAAGTGAGGTGTAGAGCAGGATCCCAGCAGGCAGCTGAGGAGAGTTTAGTGAAGGGACTGTTTACAAAGATGTGGGCAGGAGTCAGGGGACCAAGGCGGGATGGTGCAGCCCCGGGCTAGCAAGATGGGGAGCCACAATTAGGTCCAGGCCTGAAGGGGAACTGGGACAGAGCAGTCGCTGGAGGGGCGGAGAGGGCGGCCTGAGAGGAGCCTGGTCTGACAGCAGGCACAGCAAACAGGTGGAAGCAGCAAGGAAGGAAGCTGGGGACGACAGCTCCAAGCTCTGACCTGATGGTGCTGCACCTTCATCAAAACAACAGAAGCTGGGGGACAGGGGAGCCCACCACGGAGATGCCCTCTGGGGCAGAGTCAAGACGTGGTGTGGAGAAACACAAGGAAAACATCCAGACGTGATAGGGAAGACTTTGTAGTCATCTTTACAAGCCCTAACTTACAGGGAAAGCGATAAATGAGTGATACTTTTGAGGGATAATTTACCCAGAAAACATGGAGTCCAATTTAAAACTTCAATGACATCTTTTGTTCTCAATCCTTTCCTCACCGGGGGCCCGTTCTGTAAATGGCACAGCACTCCAGAGCCGCACTAAGGGGAGGACGGGTCTTGTCTCACCTCTCTGAAGAAGACGTCTGCGGGAGTCAGGTTGCACGGGATGTCGCAGTCCCTCTTGTTTAAGGCCATCAGTATTGCTGTGTTGACAAGGTCGGAAAGCCTCGAGTGGTGGTTCTTGAGGACGATGGCGGCGGCCAGCTTCTCAGCGTGTTCACAGAGCAGCAGCCGTGTGGCCATCGGCAGCCCTCTCACTGGAAAAGTGCCGAGACGTCCAAACAAGCCGACCTTGAGACAAGACGAACACGTGTTATTAGAAAGCATTCACAGTAACATACAGAAGAACGCAGTCACATTTCCACCAGCAGCTCACTGGGTACAGAGATGCTGGCCCCATCCTCCCCCAGAAAGACCTCCGTCCATTGGTCTTTGGGGCTGTTCCTAACTCTCTCTCTCTCTCTTCAGCCAGGGCCATTTACACCTGTAAGAAAGTACAGACATTCCTGTTCTAAGATTAGGGTCAACTACTGTTGTCTCTACCTACCTTATTCCTCAAATGATTGTTTATGGTTATCAAAATCATAAAATTGTTCTTTTCTAGCTACATTGATCAACTCCCCTAGACTCCAGACCTTCAGAACTAGAAACTCAGCAGCCTCCACCTTCCAGAACCCTAAAGCCATGGGGAGGGTGTGGGGGGGTGTCTCTGACCCTTTGCATCAGCTGCCTCTGATTTGCTTGATGCCCATTTCTGGCTTGAGGAGGAGAGTTTTATATTCAGAATTATTTTCTTAGATACAAGTACCCAGTTGTACATTTTTCCTGATTATTAATGTAAATCTTTCAATGAAATGAGCTCTAAATATTAAAGGAAATATAAAGGCACAGGCAGACTGGGGTTTTTAGATCTGGCTAGACATTCCCTTGCAACGGATGACGCTGCCAACAGCTGTGTGACTCCACGAGGGTCTGAGGCCCAGGGAGGCTGTACCAAGAGATGCCACAACAGCTCCAGACCCATGGCTCCCCCCCCTTCGTACCCCGCCCCTCCTGATAACTTAGCATCCCCGCAGTGTGGCATGTGAGGACCACGGACTCCTCCCACCCCAGCCTTCTGCACACCCTTCTGCAACGTAACCTTGCCACTCCTCCCATCAAGAGGCACAATCAAGTTCCCAATCCCTTTTATCTGGCCTGGCCTTGTGACTTGCTTCGACCAACGTCGCTTTGGTGGAAGTGATAATATGTGACGTCTGAAGCCTACAGCTTCTAAGTTCATCCCCTTGAAGCGCCGCCTGGAGACCACAGGAGGCCAGTCCAGCCTAGAGGAGGATAAGACTAAGTGGGGGGAGAACCAGGAGGCCCCAGCGGACGGTGGCACCGACTGCCAGTCTGACGAGAGACGCCTGGGGACCTGCCAGCTCAGCCTACCCCAAATGCAGCTCAAGGAGAGGGCCCAGGGGAAATCAGCAAAGAACCGCCCTGCTAACCCACAGTTGTTTTAACCCACCACATCTGGGGGTATTTGTTATGTATTAAGAGTTAACTGATAACAACTGACAATTACATCAGAAGAAAACATGTTTTTTCCCCATTGATCTGCAGCCCACCTAAAACACTTTATTTGTCAATGAACAAATAAAGTTCTCTTGCCCAGACAGTAAGAGCAGACTGGAGCCAGACTGTGCATTAAAACTGAAGCAGAGGGCTTCCCTGGTGGCGCAGTGGTTGAGAGTCCGCCTGCCGATGCAGGGGACGCGGGTTCGTGCCCTGGTCCGGGAAGATCCCACATGCCGCGGAGCGGCTGGGCCCGTGAGCTATGGCCACTGAGCCTGCGCGTCCGGAGCCTGTGCTCCGCAACGGGAGAGGCCACAACAGTGAGAGGCCCGCGTACCGCAAAAAAATAAAAAACTGAAGCAGAGTGAGGTATTAGAAACCAAGGTATTTCTGGAATCCTCTAGAACCACACTGTCCAATAAGGTAGCCACTATCCAGCAAAGTGGTGACTTTAAGTTAATTAAATTTAAATTTAGAAAACTTCAGTTCCTCAGCTGCAGCAGCAATTTCAAGTGTTCAGCAGCCACACAGGACTGAGGCTGCCAGGCTGGGCGGCACAGCCACAGGGCAGTCCCATCACCACAGAAGGTTCTATTAGGTGGCACTGACTTCAGTCTCTTTAACAGGGAGGCATACTGATTCTGGGAGAAAGTGTGCAAAAATGGATTTAAATTAATTCTTTTGGATTATGCCTGGGAGCCACAACTGATCAACAAGGTAAGGATGGGTGATTTTGTGTAACAACTCTGTCTAGCAGCAAAAACATTTACTATTATTAGGCTCAATATAAATGGGAATTCCCTTACCCCTTAAAAAAAAAGAATACTTTATATGAGTATTTGATGCTAATGGCACCTCGAAATTAAACATCCACATAGAAAAACCTGTCACCACCTTCAGATTCTTCACTGTCTTTCTAATAATACAAAATCAACTCGGGAAAACCTAAGTTTTATATAAAAGCACACAGGAAATCCGAATGAAAAGCAGGGTATCATAGGATGTAACAAGAAAAGCTGAAATAACATTTCTGCTGAAATACACTATTTTTCTTCTTTTTATCCTATTTTCAATGCAGCTTTGCTTCTTGTAGTAACAGGCCTCCACACAGCCCTGGAATTATTTACTTAAGTCAGCAAAGAAAATGGACAACACTAGTCATGTCCCACCCAATGAAACACCTCAGAATTAGTGAGAAAGGGTCTCCCACTGTCCTGGAGAGAGCCACAAAGGGCACAGTAAAGCCAGGTGTCCGGCCATCCCTGTTCACAGCGACTGGGTTGCCTACTTGGTGAATGAAGTCCATAAGGAAAGAATGGGCTTTCATCTTGTCTTCGAGTTGGTGGAGAATAATCAAAGATGTATTGCTGAACCCAGGTGCTTCTGGTGAAACACAATAACAAGACAAAAACATAATACACTGGCTTGACAGAAAGTACTGCTATTAAAAGTTGAGAAAAATCTATACAAAAGGAAAGTACTAACCTTTCAATGCAATTATTAATTACATTACCCAAGAGGTTAAAAATTTAGACGAAACTTTTGGGGGTTTGATACAATTCATACCATATTTATTCAAAACACAAATATGTTATTATTAGTTTAATCACTTGTATCATTCTAAGCTTGACAGCTCAAAACAGTCAAAGAAAGAAGGTGAGCACTGATGTTTTCTTCCTAAGACTCTAATGAGAATTGCTTGCTAGGCAGGAAATTAGGGATTGAAAGGATGTTTGTGACAGTTGCATGGTCCTTGGGGACCCCTGAGTGCCCCAATGCTGCATGGAGGGACAGTCACCCAGGCCGAACAGGAGGACACATGCCCACTTCTACAGGCTGAGATCTGACCACTGCTGCTCTTAGAGAAGCACGTAATTTCCATTAGCCAAATTCAGTAACTTATGCTAAAATTATCATTTAATTTGGGGCAAGTGTCAAATGCCTACCTATGCCACCAATTTCCTTTTAGAAATAACATGCTGAGAAAGCTAAGTAGGGCTGATTAATCTGTTCAGACAGAACATGTAGGATTTGCTCCAATGTTTCCTCAGTTTCTATTCTACTATGTAGACCTGTTCTGAGCCCTTTATGTATGTATGCATGTATGTATGTAAAATAGATGAGGTGTTTTTTTCTTTTTTTCTTATTTTGGCCATGACACACAGCTTGCGGGATCTCTGTTCCCCGACCAGGGACTAAACCCGGGCCATGGCAGTGAAAGCTCTGAATCCTAACCACTAAGACCATCCAGGAGCTCCCTGTTCTGAGCCCTTTTAAAAATCTACTATGGGCTTCCCTGGTGGCACAGTGGTTGAGAGTCCACCTGCTGATGCAGGGGACATGGGTTCGTGCCCCAGTCCAGGAAGATCCCACATGCCGCGGAGCAGCTGGGCCCGTGAGCCATGGCCGCTGAGCCTGCGCGTCCGGAGCCTATGCTCCGCAACAGGTGAGGCCACAACAGTGAGAGGCCCGCGTACCGCAAAAAAAAAAAAAAATCTACTATAAGGAAAGTTACAACTTTTATAAAATACTGAATTAATATTAAATTGTTTCAGAAAATAAAAAATATGCACTGAGAAACGCTTGAACAAAAGAACCAGAATGTTCTTCTCCATAACATTAACATTAGGATGCTCTTACCCTCGGGGACAGACTCAGCCCACCGTGGATCAGAAGCAGGGTAGTCGTCCACCAGGTCCACGCTGATTTGGGTAACAGCTCTGTCTAGTTCACAATTGGAATCCGAATCAGAGTGAGAGGAAAACAGCTCATCGACTATCATTTGAGCATGACCTAAATCTTTTCTGAAATAAAATCAGAAAACAAAAGTAAAAGTATTAGGAGATACGGGGATATATGTATATGTATAGCTGATTCACTTTGTTACAAAGCAGAAACTAACACACCATTGTAAAGCAATTATACCCCAATAAAAAATTTTTTTAAAAAAGTGAAAGTATTAAACTCATCATGAAAAAGTTAATTGTGAAATTAAAAGTCCCATATGTTAGCCCAAAGTTTATTACTTCTAATAACATTTATTTAAAAGGGAGACAATTATGCATTCATTAACTCAACAAATATGTGTTGAACACTGATAATATGCAGGCTCTGGAGACAGAACAATAAACAAAACATCAGAACACAGTCCTAAGACTTCACAAAGTATACAGTGGCATGAGGAGTCAGATAATTAAAGAAGCAGTTACACACACACACTAGACAGGGAAAGAACAGAGGCCACATAGCACACAGAGGGAAAACCAAAACCCCCGACAGGCAGGGAACACTTCCTGGAGGAAGAGGTGCAGGGAGGTGGGAGTGAGTGTGGGAGGGGCACACAGCGGCAGAGAGAGCACAAGGCACACCTCTAAGAAGTACGCCTGCGTCCCAGCAGAGAACGGAAGCCCTGGGGGAGAGAAGATCATCCAGTGAGGAGAGAGGGAAGAAGGGTCCAAGGCAGACCTCTTAGAAACAAAGGACAGAGCACAGAAGGTCTCGTAAAGCATGTGACGGAGTTTGAGCTTAGAAGGAAATGTTGCAATCTGTTCTATTTTTAAAAGATCATTCTAACTACGCTATGGAGATGAGGGATCAGACAGGAGGGAGAAAAATCCAGTGAGGAAGTTACTGCAGAAATCTATCCAGGCAAGAGAGGACGGGAGTTTCCACCAGCAGCAGCTGCAGCAGCTAGGAGACAGGCAGACAGCTTTGAGAAAGAGACACAGGAGGGAAACTCTGGCCATCGGCTGGCTCTGATGCATAAGGATGACTGAACAACTGACTGTGGCTGCTAGGACCTGCCACTGGAACAGGGGCTAGGAAAGAAGGAATAAGCTCTGGAGAAGACAAGCACAGTTTCACATGTGTTACAACTAGGTTCCTGTGGAACACACAACTGCTTCTGAACATTCTTCATTTGTATGTAATGGCCCAGAGCAAGGTAGGGCTGTGCTCCTTCAGCAAATGAAGCCAAGGAAGGAGGAAAGATGGCGCAGGGAGTAGAAAGAGAAAAATATGGAAGACGATAACAACTGGAGACGCCGTCTCAGGCAGTTTAGCTGTAAACAGGAACACACAGAAGAGGTGCTAGCTCAAAGGGGGACAGACTGGTCTTTTTAAAATGGCAGATTAAATATGATTAACAGCTGATGAGAAGAGGCCAGCACAAGGTCAAAGATGTAGAAGGGGAGTAACTGAGAGAGTACAGTCTCAAGGGAAACAGGACACAATGGCACTCAGAACAGAGAGACTGGCCTTAGGAAGAAGAACACCTCTTCCTACTCCCCAGGGAGGGAAAGGGAAGAGGAGTCGGGATGCAGGTAAGTTTGTGGGCGCTAAGTACAGGGAGTTGTCCTCTGATGGCTTCTACTATCTCTGTGCAACAGGAGCCTGAGTCAGCTGCTTGGGGGGGAAAGGGGCAGAGAAATGGCAAGGTAGCGAGGCGAGGAAAGGGTTGAAATGGTCTCTGCAGAAGAGGAGACAGAGCTGACCAGAGAAACACAGAAAAACTGCCGCGAAGTGTTAAAGGCAAGGTTGAAGCCGGAAACCTAGTTATGCTAGAGGTCATGGGAATGCAAAGTGGACCATAGCATGATCACTCAATAATGAACTATTTTAATCAAAAGACTAAGTTCCTTAAAACTCTCACGAACAAAAGATTTTATATTTATATTAAGTAAAATGAAAATCAAAATAATATAAAAATTAATTTCAAAGAAACCATGCTATAAAAATAGTAATATTACCTTAGCAAAAAACTGAATGGATAATAGTTTAGAGTTCTATCCACCAGCTTTGACCCCCTGAAAATAATTCTGGTTGTCACGGGTTGGGGGGAAGGATGCTACTGGCATCAAATGGGAAGAGGCCAGAGATGGTGCTAAACACCCTACAGTGCACAGGACGGCCCCACAACAAAGACCATCTGGCCTCAAATGTCTGTAGTGAGAAGGCTGAGAAATGCTGCTTTAAAGGTTCCATGATCCCATTTGTGAAGAGGCTAATTTTTTTAGACCATTGGCTGATACCACCCCAGAAATGACTTCTTGTTAACCTCATGGTACTTTATGCTAAACAGGATAACACAGTTGTGTCAGAAGTCCAATAACACCGGTCCTAAGGTTACTACGCTCTGAGCACTTGAGGTCAGGGACCCCTTTTCGTACTTAATCATCTTCCCCAGTAAAACATTTAGAAATGACTATACTGGGTTGAATGATGTTCCCCCAAATCCAAGTCCACCCAGAACCTCAGCACGTGATCTTATCTGGACAGAAGGTTTTCGAAGATACGATCAGCTAAGTTCACGCTGAGGTCATACTGGATTAGGGTGGGCCCTAAACCCAATGACCGGCGTCATCATCGGGACACGTGAAGACAGACGCACAGGGAAGAAGGCCATATGCCAATACAGACAGCTGGAGCGATGCGTATGTGGCCAAGGAAAGCCAACAACTGCCCGCCATCACCAGGAGCTAAGGGAGAGGCTAGCGAACACCCTTCCCCAGAGCCTTCAGAGGGTACACGGCCCTGCTCCCACCGTTCTCTTGGACGTCTGGCCTCCAGAACTGTGACAGAATAAATTTCTATTGTTTTAAGCCACCCAGTTTGTGGCAATTCACTACAGCAGGCACAGGAAACTAGTACAGTGACTCCATTACCATTTAAATGTTGAGATGCCACAAGTCTGACAGAACTGTTAATTAAAAGATAAATTTATACAAGATAAAATCAGAGTATTAATCCAAATCTTGGCAGTCAGACTGAACACCATGCAACAGAACAAGACTTAAAAGAATACTATTTAAAAACAGAAACAAAACACTGGTGCCCTCTTCTGGACAGGAAATTAAGCTCAGTAGACCATCAGTACGATGGCACAGAATTTTCAAACTGTAAATGCACTGCAAAGTCTCAAGTGTGTCCCTTCTGTGAGAGGGAGCCTCCACGCACCAGACGCCACTAGGAGTGGAATTACGGGACTGTGAGCTGAGAGCGGCAAAAATGGAGGCAGTAAAGTCTGACTATTTCTTCAAAACAAAGATCTGCTAAACTCCAATTCCAGAGACATTAAGCAATCTGTCCAAAGTCTCACACAGTTAATCGGGACAGAGCAAGGGCTGGATCACAATTTTCCCGAGCATTCATTCCAATATAAATGGAAGGTACCAGGTACAGAACATGAAGAACGTGTGTGCAGGACAAACTGAAATGACTGTATAGGGTCAGCAAGTGCGACAGAGCGAGTGCAGTTGTTTCCTCCACCCCGCGCACACCCTCCTGCGAGCAGCCTTCCACGGGGCCTCACCCCGGGACTCGCTGGGGCCAACGGGATATTAGCAAATGTGACCAAGCAGAAACTCGAAGAGCACTTGTGCAGCGAGGCTTCCTCTCTTCCACTTCCAGAGCCCTGAGGTTTGTGAGCAGGCCAGGGTAGCCTGCTAGGGGAAGAGATGCCGCATGAGGCAGACAGAGCTGACCAGCCAGGGTCCCCAGATGGGAGCAAGTGTAACCAGACAGCTGGCTGCTGACCACAGACCATGCGCGAGCCCAGGCAGGACGAGGAAAACTGCCACCCCAGCACAGCCCCAAACAGCCAGACACAGGGCCAGAAGCTGTATTAAATAAGCCACTGAGTTCTATGGTGATTTCTACACAGCAGAACTCAACCAACAGGCCAAGACTAATTCCTTTACAACAGCGATGATAACCCTTTGTATGCAACTTCACTGCCTTCACATTATACATAAAGCATGCTTGCAAGCTGCCTTCATGACCACCATTTCTAGTGGGACATTGTTTCCATCGAGTGGAGAGGCTGTGTTACACCAGGTTTCTCCCAGCCTAGCTGGAACCCTCCCGCGGCTACCAAGTTCAGAACAAGAGTTTGTTAAAGTGCTAAAGCTCAGAAAAACATCTTCTCCTGGATGGCTTCACTCCTCCAACTCGTTCCCACTAGTCAACAAATAAGCAGCATATGTCAGTAACATGTGTCCTCAAACATCAAAAGGGCAGTAATTTTAAAGACTTGTCATACCTGCAGTATTGCAGAAAAGCAGCTTTTAGCAATTTGGTTTTATCTTCCCGGGCAATAGTTTCATTCTTGGTAGAGGTGTCAAAAACCACACTCTGTAAAATAACAAACTATAATTTAGAGGTGAAGGTATAAGAATATTCTTAGTTATTGGACTAAACACTGGACCCACCTATGAGAGCAACAGTACAGACACACAGCTGTTTGCCGTACCCTCTATACCAATGGTTTATATATTGATACTTAAGACATTTATTGAAACAAGATAAAACACACCAAATGATCAACTAAAGTCCTATAGAAAATGTATATATAATTCAGGAATTATATTGTGAGTAAAATCATTTGCAGATTTCATCACAACACAACCTTCTTATAGGCTTACCCTTATACAACTCATCACAAAGTGTATTTCTAAGCATAATGGTTGATTTCAATCTTAACATACAGCAGTATTATGAAAACCACATGATTACAAAAGAAAAAACGTAAAAAAAGAAAAGTTACTTTCTGTTGAACCTGTATCAAATCATTTTCATTTTGAATTACACAGTCTATATATTTTACATACTATTCAAATGGAAATTACCCCAAACAGTGTTAATTTTTAGCCTCCTGTAAAAGAATGATAAAAATCTTTTTTACGGATCAGGGTATTTCAGAATTCAAGATAACAGGAAAAAAAAATGATGTTTTTTTCCCCCACTCTCCCCTCAAAAATCATCCCAGAAGAAAAAGAAACACAACCACCACACATCTGCGGTTCCAACTGCAACACACAAAGATGGAAACCAGAAGGGAGGAGCAGCAAGTGACAGAGCAGGGAGGAGGCCAGGCAAACCTGTGCAGTGCGGGGACAGGCCCTGAGGACAAGAAATAGGGAAGTTCCAGGCAGACAGCAGGCAAGGGGCTTCTCTAGAGACGTGACCCTGGGCAAAGCTTTACGGAAAGGCACCTACGCAGCTGCTGGAGGGTGTGGGAAGATTAAGCCATATATCAAAGAAAAGTAAGCAAATATGAAATTAGTCCACTCCAAGAATCACACAAAGTTGTACACTAAAGGAAATGGAATCAGCACACTGCTTCACTCTGGACTATAAACAACATTCACATAGCCCTTATAATGGAAAAAATGTACACTGGGGTGATGAAGACAGAGAGGAATGCAGGTTACCCAAGTCCTCATCCTCCAACAGGAGATCTGCAGATGACGAGAATCAGTGAATGAGAGACAGCAATACACGCATATTACTTAGAAATGTGGAGGCAAACGCCAAAAAAAAAACAGCTGAAGGACTTACAAGTAGTCGCTTCTGAATAAGAGGACAAAAAAGATGAGAGAGATAAAAGAACTAATGTCTTCATCACAACTCTTTTAAAAGTGTCTGACTTTTAAACATTTGTGGGAAACACCCTGATAAAAATCGTTAAATCCTTCGCAAATCAGCTACACTTTAAATCAACTATACTTTAAAGAAAAAAAAATCTTATGGAACCACGTTACTTCATTGCCTGGTCCAGCAACTGAAGATGCCAGGGAATCTTCAAGGTCTTCTGCCAATACGGACACATTTTCCCTTGAAGTAATTGACACCAATCCACTGTTTCTGGAAAAAAGGATAGGAACGCCCCCACAGGAACCAGCTCCTAAAATACTATCTCCTAAGAGAAAGAAAAATACACGATCAGATAGACATAACCAAAAAGTACTTTCCTAAATCCACCTCCCAGCAGAAAATCCTGGTGATATCCTTTGCCGTGTTACTCCTACTCTGTAATCCCGCGTCAAAAGTCAAGGCTCCCCGCTATCTGGAGTGGTAGGCTGTGTCCTTCACTGTGCCTTGCAAGAGTAGTGGGCACAGAGCACCAAACGAGAAAATCACCCCTTCTGCAAGACTCAGAGTACAGCTTGCCAACCCTACCTTGACTTACTGAGTAAGCCAGTGCGGAAGGAAAAGGTTTAAGCTCTCTTGTAGTCTTAACAGCATCCCACTCACCCAGTCAAGGCTCTGGTGCTGGGACTAGAAAATTGAGGTTCCATCCTGCTGCCTCACATGGATTTTGCCCTTTGCCCCTTAAGATAAAGACCCTAATGAGACTGTCTGCTTGGTGTTTTTCACACCTGGCTGGCTCCCCCCATCACCCACACCTCCCCCCCAATTCCAGTCCCCTTGCATGAGTCCAGCACCTGGGATTCTTCTTACCCAGGGGTCTGGACAAACATTTAAAGAACATCAGCTCAGAATAAGTCACTCTTACTGACCAGGAACAAGCAATTACTTCTGTTAGCATCAGTTCTTTTCTTCTTGGCCTCTTCTGGGAAAAACGTTACTATTTTTTGCCCATAAATGTATCAGTTTGGGAACTCTACCACCCTTCCAGTTTTTCAGCTACTGTAGGCGTGGGATTGAATGTCACAGGCATCATGCTTGAAGCAAAGTTTATGGAAAGAGAACAAAAACTGCTCAGAATGACTAACGAGTTCCCTAATCCTGTTTTCTAAAACCACTACCCTACCTTGTGTATTGAAGACGATTTTCTCCCGAGGAAGAGAAAACTTCCCAGTTCCTGTGGAGCACACGTAGACAGCACTTTCAGTATACAGATAGGCAGTCTGGTTTGAAAAGTTTGGGACCATCAACTGACATATAATCAAGTCTTCAGACTGAAAATTAAATTTAAGATTACATTTAATCAGAATTGAAACAAAAATACTTGTTTGTATGATTTTGTAATTCACACTTTTGTACGGTAATAAAAATGATAAAATAATTTGTTGATTATCCTTGTAAAAACCTAAACACTATCCATCAGATGATTTACAAAACATGACAGAATAAGTTTGTAAACATCAATTAGAGAGACCATTTGCTGAGTTGCAAATAATTAGCAAAGTTTGAAAACGTTTCCATGGTGATAAGATTTTAACTAACCGCCTGTAACAAATGTGAGGAAGAAAATAAAAGGATTAGTTCATTATTTATTTTAGAATTGACAAATTTATTTATAAACGACCCCTGATAAATACTGTCTTTTTCTTCACTGTCCAGATATCAAGCACAAGAAAACTGAGTTAATTTGATCATATATGAAATTAAAAATAGAAATAAGACCTAATTAAATCATAAAATTAGCGAAAGCTAAAAAGGATATTCCGTTTATTAAAAGAATTTTACAAACATAACATAAACATGGAATTTTTTTATTCTCAAATTGTCTTCTTTATACCCTTTCCCACTGTCTGAAAAATTTTAACACTGAGCATATTTTTCTTGTATAATCAGAACACATAAGGTTTATTTCTGTTTGAAATAAAAGACCAAACTAAAAGATTTCCTTACAGCACTCAGCTACACAAATCATATTAAGAGTGAGAGTTCAACAGAATTAGATACTATACAAGATTAAATGAAATGAATTTACAGCAGTTAAGGCCTTTCCTCAAAAACATCATACTTATTCAACAATGTTCGATTGCTATTAAGAAGCTTAAAATTAGAGAGCTTGCCTTTTAATCGTTCACATGAAATTTGACAAGTATATAATGTGGTTACCTACAAATATAATCCTACTCTGAGGAAAAATGGGATTTTTCTGTAGTATATAGGGCTCAAAACCAAAGCCCAGTTCATGTCAGGTTTCTTCCTTATTTTTCACTCTGCAGTTCATCATCAATGTTTTCCTTCTCAGCAATACTGAAATGAAGACCCCTTCACAGAGCTATGGCAGGAGAGGCACGCTCCTCGCTGTGAGGGGCTCCCACTCTCACTTCTCTTTAGCTAAGGCTGAACAAAGGACTGAGTATGAGATGGCAAACAGAATGCAATGCCTAAAAACTAGCTATTTAAAATGTATTTCCAGGAACTCCTTGGCAGTTCAGTGGTTAGGACTCTGCACTTTCTCTGCCAAGGGCCCAAGTTCAATCTCTGGTCGGGGAACTAAAATTCCGCAAGCTGCCAAAAATAATAACAATAAAGCAATAAAGAGATTTTAAAAAATAAAATAAAATCTACTTCCAAGCTCTGCAGATGAATTTCTCAAAGAATCTGACCCTGCAATGGTTAGGAAAAGAACTCAGCATGTTACTGTCACTTTGTACTTTAACTTACAGATGTAAACCTTACCTGAAAAGGTGGGTTATACTGAGTGACTTCCACAGTCACTGCATCTGACATTTGGTAGCCGTTATCTTCTACTGTTACCAGCGAGTAATAGACGAGACAGGGCTTGTCTGCCAGGTGCCATGCCGCTGACAAAATCAGGAGACCATCGCTAATTAGTGAGAAAGAAAGATCTATTGTCTCTTGGGCAAACAGTCCAGCAATGTCTTGAAGAGTTAAACACACGTTTCCCATATGACCTAGCAAGCCCAGTCCAAGAGACTGGGACCTTATAGTGGCTTTACTCATGATTGCCTAAAACGGGAAACAACCCAACATCCTTCAACTGCTGAATAGATAAACAAATCCTGGTAAGTCTATACAGTGAACTACTACTCAGCAGTAAAAAGGAAGAAACCACTGAACGAATATCAAATGCATTATGCTAAGCGAAAGAAGCCAGACTCAAAAGGCTTTATACCCTATGATTCCATTTATACTATAAGGACAGAAAATACATCAATGGTTGCCAGGAGCTGCAGGTGGAGAAAGGGGTTGACAAAAGAGTACAAGGAAATTTTGGAGTGATAGAACTGTTCTGTATCTTGATTGCGGTTCTAGTTAAATGACTACGCGTTTGTCAAAACTCACCAAATTATACATTGAAAAGCGTGCAAGGTATTTTCTATATGTAAAATAAAACTCAATAAATCTGACTTAAAAAGACCAACAAATCATCAATTACAGGGATTGGCAAAGCGCAGCTCTCAGACTAAACTGAGTCCCGGTTGAGGTTTTGTAAATGAAGCTTTCCTGCCATGCAGCCACGCCACTTGTTATGTGTTGTCTATGGATGCTTTAATGCTACCACTGATAGAGTAAAAGAGCTGCAGTGAAGACCACATGGTCCCCAAAGCCTGAAAATATAAAACAGTTTTGGAACCTTCACAGGAAAGGTTGCTAACCCCTGATCTAATCTGTTCTTTAAAGCTTACTTTTGTACAGAGGAAAAACATTTTGTTTTTAATTTTAATAACCAATCATAGAACTGCTGCTGTATATTCAAGCTGCTGTATATGTGAAAAACAAACCTTTTTCCATCTTAAAGTGTATATGGTCCTCTTAAGTCTATCAAAGTTGTTGCCCCCAACCAATTAAATGGTCTCTAATCTCAACCCTTCTAAAACATTTAGTAGCATTTTTAGCAACTCTCGGTTCAAGTCTCAGAAATATTAACAGGGTGGCAAGCACCCTCTACTGACAACTAAAAATAATAAACCGAGCTAGTGGCTGGACAACATGCACTTCAAACCAAGCAGTCCTAACGTGGCTCTCATTTCCCTTCTCCACTGTTCTCTTCCTCCAGCTCCCCAGCCCTTATCACTTCTACCTGAATTCCCGAGAAGAATTCAAGGACACTGGCCCACATCCAAACATACTGGCAGTGACCTAAAGAGCTACTGATGACACGTAAGAAGGAAGCGAGTGAGGCCGCAGAGAATGCAGTCTCTTGCCCTCCGTACCAGGTAGGGAGGGAGAGACGGCCACGTCCAGATGTCACTCCACACTGAAGTCACTCCAAAGACTGGACCGCTGTGGGGTAATGGGTGCCCCCTGAGGCCCAGAGACACAGCTAACAGAGGATTCCTCAGGGAGTGGTGCTTGGACCAGTTTCATTTGACATCTTTATAAAAACAAATCTTCCTGATTAAAAAAACATGAAGGTATTTTAGGTAGCAAAGATGATAGGAAGATAACCAATTCTGCAAATCAGTAAAAATTTGACAGGGACTTCGCTAGTGGTCCAGTGGTAAAGAATCCGCCTTCCAATGCAGGAGACGCAAGTTCGATCCCTGGTTGGGGAACTAAGATCCCACACGCCGCGGGGCAGCTAAGCCCACGCGCCACAACTACTGAGCTCACATACCTCAGCTAGAGAGCCTGCATGCCACAAACTACAGAGCCCACACACTCTGGAGCCTGTGCGCCACAACTAGAGAAGAGAAAACCCGCGTGCTACAACTAGAGAGAAGCACATGTGCCGCAACAGAAGATCCACATGCCTCAATGAAGATCCCATGTGCTGCAACCAAGACCCGGTGCGGCCAAAATAAATAAATAAATAAACAGAATTTTTTTTTTTAATTGACAAATTTTTATGCGAGTATATACAGGGCAATACATTTATGATTTCAAAAAATCCAGAATGAAGCTACCTGAGCTTTGCGTCAGTAATCATCTGGTAAAAGAACTCATGAGGCTGTTCACTGCAAATAGGAGCCGAGGTTGCAGCTCTGGCCAAAAGGAGCAATCGACCGAGGAGGAGCAATAAGCATCAGGGAGACACACTCGCTCCTTAAACAGAAGAGGCCCACCCAGATGCGGTGCACGGATCACCGGAACAAGAGTATTCAAAAGAGCGATGACCGCATCATTTGGAGCTATGGTGGGGAGGGGCCCAGAAGGAGGGTGAGAGCTGCATCTCACAGGCCCCATGAGAATCGAGCTGCGTTAGCATGACAGCACCGGGGGAGGTGCCCAGGGTCTGCCTTGGCACAGCCAGTCCTAAGCAGGTTTCTCTGTTCTCAACCTGTGTCTCCGTTCTGAAAACTACACATGAGGAAACGTCTGCATCCCCGCATCCTACACCCACAGTGGGCTGTGTCCTGGCAGCAGTTCTAAATTTATGAAGGTCTGGTAAAGCTAAATGAAAACAAGATATACTGTACCTAATGCAACTGTTTTGGGAAATTAAATATATACTATTATTTTTACTTCTTTGATAGTTTACATATGTGGTTTTCAGAAACTATAAAGGGTCCTGATAGTCCCAATAGCCCAAGAGAGAAAAATTAAACAGCACAACTTCAAGCCAAGAAACAAGCAGAATTTGTTCTACTAAACTAAATTACTCTAGAACACATAAAAATACTCCTTAACTTCTGGTAAGTTGCGTTTTGAAAAATTACAAGTCATGTATTTGCACTCATTATGAGCTCTGCCACAGAAGCCATATTACAAATGGTTTTTAAGTTCCATATGGCCTCTGGTATTAAAGCTAAACAATAACATGGGATTAAGTAGCTTTATCAGACTAACCTGGGATCTTAAGCACCATTTAGAGCACCATTTCTAAGAGGAAATTCACTCTGAGTATAAACCGTGACTGAATTCTAATTTGTACCACCACGACAAAACCTCACCCCATCCTTCCTTTATTCAATACAGCGACAAACACAGGCTAAAGCTCCTTCAGCAACAGAAAAAGGGCTGGAGAAGAGCGCCTGGCATCTCCACAGAGTCGGGAAAAATGACAGCATGGAGCAGCCCCAGCAGCGGGGTAGGCAGCTCTTAGAGGCTCCGGCTGTGACAGCAGAACAGACGGATCCCTACTGAGGGCAGACAGCTAATGGAACACACAGTGGAAGGCTGACAACTGCCTGTATTTCTCAAATGAATTAGCATCGCTAGACAACACAAAACGATTTAGTTAAGACATAATAGTATAAGATTAGCATTAGAGGCATTCGAAAAACAGATGGCAAGACTGCTCATCATTTTATAACAAACATCAGTTTGTTTTTCCAAACAACTCCTATGTTCTTCATGACAAATTAATTGCTTACCAGTTTTGCTTCAAATCCAAATACCGAATGTTGACCCCTTCTTTAATAGCTTCATAGTTACTTTCAGATCCCTACATGAAAATATCAATAACGTAAGCTCCTTGAGTTTAGGAATCGTTTCTTTTCACCTTTATATCCCCAGCACCTACTAAAGTGCCTCATCCACAGTAAGTCAAACATTTACTGAATGAATGTATGCATTGAAAAAGTTAAGTAAATCAGTGCTTTCCAATACTTCTAAAGATTGACTACTCCATTTCAGCCTATCTGATGGCTAAAACTTTGTGTATTACACTGAAATGTGTTCTAATAAATACAACAACTAAAGGAACTAGCGGTCTCACATAAATGAAAATTACAGAGATGAATGTTACTGTTCCTTACCCAGATAGCATCAATAATGTTTTCCTTCAGGACTCTATTTATATCCCAACTATGTGCTTGTTTTTCTGAAGAATCATCTAATTCCCATTTACCGATGTTTGAACTTGTCAAGCTATAAAAGCTTGATCGCTCTCTATCCCAAAGGACACTTGAAAGCTATATGGAGAGGAGAAAAAAGTTTATAGATTATTACGTTCTAATGTTAATGAACTATTTTTCTGAAATTCAAAATTAGTACATTTTATAACTATTTGATTAGTAATCCTAGCAGAATTCTTCATTTAGGACTCGAAGGAAGGAGTGATCCTGAAACAGACCTTGAGTAAGGAGGGTTTCCACAGGCACAAATATAAAGGCAGAAGGCCCAGGAAGAGCAGAGTCGGGAGGTGGGAAAGTCACAGGATCTTCAGAGAACAAGACACAGCCCTGCTTAATTGGAATGCGGATTACAACCAGGAAAGAAGCAAAAATAAGGTTCACACACAGCACAGTCTTAAATGTGAGCTTGTAAACCTAGTAAGCAAGGGAGATAGTCTCAATGGCTTGTGAGCACAAGAGCTGTGTTACAGGAGAAGGAATCTGGTAGGGCTGTGTGTAGTTCCATGTGGGTATGTTAACCTCGTCTTTCTTGCTTCTGAAGAACAGATGTGTTTTTTAAGTTGCGTATACAGAACTGTTGAGTGAAAACCCTAATTGTCTCCACTTCTCCTGTCACCATGACTCTAGTCACTAATGGGACCGGAGGGGCCAACAGTGAGTAAAGCGGACTGGCACCAAGAATTAGGGGAAATTAACCAAGAGTGCATATTAGGGCCTTACAGTGGAAGCAGGAAGATGGGGATGGCAGTGAGACATGAAAGAAGCCAAACCTATAGAACCTGGTAAGGAGAGAGAG